GCGAGGGGGGGACAGCGCGCCGTTGCCGGCGAGCTTACGTCGCCGCTCCCGCGTCTCGCGTCCCCACCCCTCGCCTGACAATATCGATAGCCGGGCGGTCACATCTCGCCACGCGCTCGAATTGGACAGTGGGCAGGGCAAAGACGACGATTTTCGATAATTTATTACTCGTTAACTATTGCGAAAATTGCAAATGGTTCAGGACTTTTCTGTTCATCTCGATCCGTTCTACCTTCTCACGAGCTCTGGTACAAATGTTATGACTCACCCTGTAGATTGTCTAAAATTTAGCAAAATCCAGTGTTTATACTCGGATACGATTAATGGAAACTAACTTTAATTGATAAATTAATACTAACCCACCAAACACAAAGTAACAGTTACATAACTATAAGTTAAAATTTCCTACTCAACAATATAACTGTTATATAACATGTTATGTAACAGTTATATTGTTGAGTAGGAAATTTTAACTTACAGTTATGTAACTGTTACTTTGTGTTTGCTGGGAACAGACGTAATTTTTTAATTAAAAATATTAAGTCCATTTATTAACCACCACACAATTCCATTTTTGGATGAAAGTTTGATTGAAAAAAAAAAGAAAAGATTATTTGGAAATCATCAATCAAAATAATTCTGTTTGAAATTAATGTTGAAACACGTGCAAAGGATAATACAAAATACCATACCAGTCAATGCTCCACGTGTTCGATTTAATCGTTCGATCGCCTGCGATGAGTGCGATGTCCCTGTTGCTCTGCGAATATTGGGTTGCGCGTTCTCCGTGCTTTCAAACTTACTGAGCTCCTTCGTAATCCGTGCTGAAAGTCGTACTCTTGTAGAACCTGCCGATGTCTCTCTTTCTATATTTCTCTCTCTACCTGCAATGTATACCTTTACTACCGAATAACATATCCGTACAGCACATGTAGATGGATGCTGAGAATATTGGAAGAATTATAATTCAAATTCCAAGTGAATGAGGATGAAGGTTACAGTGGACATAAAGAAATCTTTTCGCTTTTATGTTGCTTAGTATGTTGCTTACTCACGGTGTTCGTAGCGGGAACAGAAATTTCGACATCATGCCTCAGTGTCGGATAATTTGGTAATGTGTTGTATAACTTACTCAACGTATGCATCGCGGAATCGGAAATTTCGACATCATGCGTAAGTGTCGGGTAATTTCGTAATGTGTGGTATGACTACTCGACGAAATTTCATGAAATATCTACATTACTTTTCGGGAATCGTAAACAAATCTCCAATAACAAGTTTCAACTCTTTATAAGACCAGACAACACAAGCGTGCGCTTTGGGCGCGCCATTTTTTATAAGGGATATAATAAGGAGGATATACATATATCTAATTAATTTCTGTCGATCATTCTCGCGTTCTTTCACTCGTTTTCCACACATTATCGCTCCCTCGATCACCATCTATTCAATGTCTCTCTCATTTGCGCTTTTGCTTTATGCCTTTCTTGTTTTTAATTTGCAAAGTTGACAACTGTAAAATATTTTATGTTAATTTATCTTACCTTAAATTATAATTAGCAATGTTTCTCATTATTACTTTGGAAATAATTTAATTAGTTTTGAACAATTTATTAATTGAAAATAATATGTAAACGTTAGAGTAAAGAACGCTTAAATAAAACTTTTTATTAAAAAAATTTTTTTATTTTATTATGTTGTGGTTAATAACCAATAAAAATCTTCTGCACGAAGAGATATATATTTATATATAAGTACCTACATAGAAAATCGAATTCCTTTGAATAATACTCGCTGCGCAATGCACGCCATTGATTGCAAATCAATGTTCAAAGTTTCAAGAAAACATTATGACCGTATTGTGGATAATGAAAAAGGTTAATTAGCTTAGCCTTTAACCTATCTTGGTTAAATTCTTAGAGAAATATATTAATAGCTATTTCTCATATCTACGGCGAAACCTGATTTCTTCGACGTTTAACAACATGCGGTATGCTTTTGGATCAGAGGTTTACATAAGTCATATATGATCAAGCAGGCAATATATTCAGATTTGACTTTGAAATGTCACGTCCTCCTCTTTTCGACATTCTTTATCGTGGCCTTGACTAAACTTTTGCGTATCTGAAATGAAACTGGCCTTACCTGTAGCAGCTTCTTATAAAATATAATTAGGATAGATTCCTTGCTCATATATTGCTGATCGTTTGCTTCAAAAATTGCATCTTGACGGAACACTATTGCATATACGTTCTTTTTTATATTAAAACAATATGATTTAAATAAAAACTTAGCACCATTTAACAGACCAAAAAACCAGTTTACTATTTATTACTTTATAAAGCGTACTACACGGAGAAAAACCATTTAGCTGCTGT